TTAATTTAAAAAATTCTACGTTTTTTAATAATGTAGGAAAAAAAACCTGAAACTGTTATAACAAAATATATGTACAAATGTATATAGTTCAAATTTTAAAAAGTAAAAAAAATGCTACAGTACATGCCTAACCAATCATCTAATAGTAAGTTAGTATGACTGATAAGCAACAAAGCCAGATGCTAATTTGAATTCTTTGTGAATTAAAACAAAATGCACATTAAGTATATTTTATTTTAATTTTTAAAAAGTCTTCAAATAATCTATCTTTTCAATTATTATCCAGTCTAGTTATTGTCCTTTAAAACAAAAACTGGGCTAATATCATTGCAAATATTATGCAAACTTAAAAACCTCGCATAAGCTAAAACATTAATTTCAATTATTGTTTGAAAAAATTGGCAAATTATTTGGCAAGGTTTTTGTTGTCAAAAAATATAAAATAGTATTTTGGTATGACAATGAGTAAGTAAGTGAATATTTTCAGTTAAATATTTCTACAATTTTATACAAACAATCATTTTTTATGCGTTAGCAAAAACCACACGAACGTGCGCAAATCCTTCGCATAACTTCCCAACGGGCACAATAACCGTGTCGAGCCCAATAGGCACAAAATGGTTCACTGTCAGTGCAGCCCTGAAATTTTTCTCAATTTTCATATTTGATTTATTTTTTTGAAAATGAAAGGTGAAATTATCAATGAGGAAAATGTAACAAATTATTTGTGGAAAAATTTGCCTATGCATTAAAGTCATGAACGAATTCATATGAATTTATTTGATTATGCAAAAATTCTTAAAAATGATTTATTCAAAGTAATTGTTTTATGCTAATTGACCTTTAGCAGTTAACCGATTATTTAATCCAATTTACATTCCCCACATGTTTCCTTTTAAAATGCACCATTGAATAAGTTAGCAAAATGCACCATTAATAATACAATGATCGCTAAGAAAATACTAGTTGTAATCAAAATTACCCGTTGTATTCTTATCAAAATAAAATTATTTAGAATTTAAAATATTACATTGGTTAAATTAACGTTTTTAGCAAAGTTAGAAATATCCGTTTAATTTTAAGTTATATTTAAATAGTAATTCAGGATTCAACATATTGAGTGAAATTTTTTTAAATCTTACTCTTAACTTATTTTTGCAACTGGCACAGAAAAGAAAATGAAAATTTTATATAAAAAATTAAAACAAGAAAAAGTTGCCTAGCATTTTCTTACGTCTTCGACTACCTAACTAATATGTTGACTTTTTATCAGTCCGACATTTCTAACTGATAAGCAGTACTGTGTGCAGAACAAATCTGAAGAATTATTTCCGGTAAAAGTTTTGTTTTTTGCTAGTCATCATACTATGCAAATTATGTCATTTCCAATCAATTTATATACTATCTATATCTTGTCATTAGAATTATTTTGTCAGCATTTAATATAATTAAACTTAGATTACAACAGATTTCATCATTTGAATTAATTTAGGTTTCGGCAGGTTTAATTCTTTGCAGAAATTCTTCAGGTGATAAATTTCTAGCATCCTTACGACTGTTATATTTATTTGAAGACAAGCTGGCTGGCTCTTATTTGAAAATAAATTTCGTAAAATGATTGTTATTATCTATTTAAATTAACTTCAATTATAAATGGATGATAAATCGTTTATGATAAAATAATTTGCTCAACCAAATTTAAACTTCTAAAAATAGACTTTGATTAAAAAATAAAGAAGTTTTATTATTTCTAGAGGATAAGCGGTACATTCCAGTAAAAAATACATCGTTTTTCAGTTATGAACTGCAATTGGAACGGTATGGTAATTTTAAAGGAAAAACTGAAAAAAGAAAAGAAATAAAAAAAGATTCGACGAAGGATAGTTTAAGAGAAGATAGGAGTTAAACATGAAATTAATTCTTGAATGTTTTCCATCAGTACAACAAAAGAATTAATTGATGCTATTATTATTGCATCGCATTGGGATCATTATTATTGCTAAACTTTATCATTACTATTATCGTCATTACTGTTATTATCATTTGTTATCATTGCTATTACTTATTGTTATTATCATAATTATTATTATTATCATTACTATTATTTATCGCTA